ATGAGCATTAAATTCTATGAAAATCTCTAGCTTAAGAAGGGGGAGCTACTAACTCTCTTCTCTTCCTCCACTATCACATGTGAGCTAATTACCTCTCGGTCTCATAGTCTAACACACGGTTTATATTATTATTGGTCTAATTTACACAATTCTTTCTCAAGTTCATGTATAAATCACTAAATCAATTGAAAGGTGATCAAGCTCTCAATGCATTAAGTTCAATAATATAAACTCGTCATGCAAATAACCAATAAATCTTGAATTAAACTAGCAAAAACAGTCACATACTTCAAAAATTAAAATCCACCCATCCCTAGTTCAAAGAAACCTAGCCACACATGTTTATGTTCTCAACAGCCATGAAAAATAAATCCCAACAGAAAATCATAATAAAAAGAAATCAGAAACAACAAAACCCAAACGGAGAATTGCAGTTTGCCGAATGATGTGCTGTGGTCGGGATCTCCCAAGAAGGCTGGGCGGTAGTGTGGCTGGGCAGAGAAGAGCAAGGCTGGGCGGTGAAGAGCAAGGCTGGGCGGCGGAGATTTCTCTTCTGTTGCTAGTGAACAACAGAGGCGGGTGCTGGGATTTTGGGGGGCTGGGTGCTCTTGACCTTGCGCAGCCTTCTTGGGAGATCCCTAACAAGTGTACTAGTCGCTCCAAGTAATATAATGATGAGAAGAGTGTCGAACCCACGAGGATTGTGTCTAACTAAGTACCAAAATAATTAATCTAAATTTATTTGAACAATCAAATAGAAAGAAACTTTAATTAAAAATAATAAAAAGAAAATAACAAATAAACCTAACCAAGATAAGAGGTACTAAGGCATTGATTTCACCATAATCAATCAATATAAATTCTGGATTACCAAATTGTTGAGTGTTATTGCATGTGATGGCGGATTTCCCTAAATTAATTAACTAGCTTTTCTCAAGTCAAGTTAATCCTTCACTGGTTTGTTAAATTAATCATATCTCTATGTAATTTCAAACAAACTAATGAGCATTAGATTCTATGAAAACCTCTAGCTTAAGAAGGAGGAGCTACTAACTCTCTTCTCTTCCTCCACTACCACATGTGAGATAATTACCTCTTGGTCTCATAGTCTAGCACACGGTTTATATTATTATTGGTCTAATCTATGCAATTCTTTCTCAAGTTCATGCATAAATCACTAAATCAATTGAAAGATGATCAGGCTTCCAATGCATTAAATTCAATAATATAAACTCCTCATGCGAATAACTTTAATTGAAAATATAAAATCACAAAATCTATATTGAATTGATTAGGCTACATCATAACCTTAATAAAATAAATCAATTCATAATAAAAAGAATAAAATCTACAATCATAGTTAAGAACAAGGAAGAATAAAACCCAATTTGAGAAAATCGAACTCCTTGATCTTCTATTGTTGAATCTTCTATCTTGACCTCCAAGAATGCCCAAGAGAGGGCTGCCACTAGCCTCTCCAAAGCCCTCTTAATTCTGAATTTAGATGGGTATTTATAGGATTTTAGAAATCCTAGTTGAAATAGAAGTAGGACTTGGAACATAAATAGGAAACTGAATTTTGGATGCAGATCGCGTAGTGCTGACACTTCGGATTACGTGCTGACACAAAATAAGAAACAGAATCTGATTCTGAACGTTTAACGCATGGTGTCGACACCCCGATTACGTGTCGACACTACACCCGTGTCGGGTTTTTGGCCTCCTTTTGCAATTTCTTCAATGGTAAAATGGCAGATCTGGTTCCTCACTTCTGGATTCTGCACAAGTTGATCCTCGAGTCTCTGATCTCTTCAATTTACTTCTAAAAAGTAAGATTTCTTCCAATTAAATCATTTCCTACACAAAGAATGAAAACCATGTAAAATAAAACAAAATCCCATAAAACTCATCCAAATATCAATAATATCAAAGTAAAAATTCCCTATTAATATGTATATAAATTTAGCTCATCATGTAGGTTTGATAACACTCGTCATCATCATGTAGTTGCTTCCCAACATGAAAAATATTCACCTCAAGATTCATATTCCCAAATGAAAGTTTCATCAAACCATTCCTACAATTAATAAGAGCATTAGCAGTAGCAAGAAATGGCCTTCCTAAAATAAGTGGAATCTTTGACTCACTATTAACTTCAGATTGAGTATCTAAAACAAGAAAATCAACAGGATAATAAAATTTATCGATCTGAAGCAGAACATCTTCTACTATCCCTCTTGGTTTCCTACAAGAACGATCAACCAACTGTAATACCACAAATGTGGGTTTTATCTCTCTAAGACCTTGTTGCAAATAAACTGAATAACGCATTAAATTCACACTTGCTCCTAAATCCAAAAAAGCTTGACCAAACTCTTGTGACCCAATTTGACAAGCAATTGTTGGGCACCCTGGATCTTTGTACTTTGGTGGTGTTTTTTGCTCAATTACCGCACTTACCTGTTCTGCAAGAATGCAATTTTCTTGACATGGTGTTTCCTTTTCATGGTGCATAGATCCTTGATTACTTTGGCATAAGTTGGTACCTGTTTAATCACATGCAACAAAGGTAGATTAATCATAACTTATTTCAAAATTTCTAAAATCTCACCTTGGTTGTCTGAAATCTTTCTAGTTCAAAGAGCTTGAGGGAAAGGAACTTGAATTGGGACCTCCTTCTCAGGTTCTTCCAATAGGTCGTCTTCATGGCTACTTGGAGTAGCATCCTTCAATTGAGGTGATTTTTGCAACGGCTCTATAACCTTACCAGTATGAGTAGTGATTGCATTGACCCCTCTAATGTTCTTAGAATTAGAGGTAGATTCATGCACAAAGGGTAAATTTTTAGGATTAGCTTGAGGTTGAGATGGAATCTTACCTCATTCTTGGATAGTAAGAGCATTGGTCAACTTAGTTAGTTGACTCTTGACATCCTTGTTTTCTTCAACCACCTGTGTAAGAATAGAATCAAATTTTGGTTGTCTTATTTTGTGCCTCCATAAATGCCTTAAGTGTTTCCTTTAAAGGATCCCTATCTAGTTGTGCATTGTATTGAGGTGTAGGGTAAGACCTAGGTGGTTGAGCTTCACTATTCCACATATTGTTGGATGATGTGGGATGGTTCCGATCATTCTTCCAACTAAAATTTGGATGGTTCCTCCAACTAGGATTGTACATCTCTGAATAAGGTGAAAAAGGTTTCCTAACCATTCCTAATGCATTGCATTGTTCTTCATAAACCCTTCTCATTTCACCATAGGTTGGGCAATCTTGAGCTAAATGGTCCAATCCCCCACAAAAAAAACATGGTGCCTGAATTGTGTGGGTGACTCTATTTTTCATTTTTAAGGTCTCAAGTTCCCTAGTTGCAACTTCTAATTGGGCTTTAAGGTTATCTTCCTCCCTAAGGTGGTAAATCCCAGATGATCGTGACCTGTTCATACTATTAGTGGCACTAGGTCCTATCCAAGTGTGAGCTTTTTCAACTAATTCATTTAAATAATCTATGGCTTCTTCTGGGTCCTTATGCAAAAACTCCCCATTAAACATCATATCTACAAATTGACGCTCCCTACTAGTTAAGCCCTCATAGAAATAACTAACCAACCTCCAAGTTTCATACCCATGATGTGGACACAAGTTTTGTAATTCTTTAAACCTCTCCCATGCTTGGTATAAGGTTTCAATATCATTTTGAGAAAATGTGGAGATCTATCTTTTAAAATTATTAGTTTTATGGTGTGAAAAGTACTTGTTAAAGAAAGCTTGAGTCATCTCTGCCCATGTACCTATAGATCTCGATCTCAAAGAATATAACCAAATTTTAGTTGTCTTTCAAGGAGAAGGGAAAGAATTTCAACCTAATTGTGTCTATCGTGTCAGCTCGACTATGAAAAGTAGCTATGACCTTGTCAAACTCCCTAATATGCACATATGGATTTTCATTCTCTAAACCATGGAAACTAGGCAAAAGTTGAATCATTCCAGGTTTGAACTCAAAGTGTGGTGTATTAGGAGGAAACATTATGCATGATGGTGTAGCTGTTCTAGTGGGGTGCAAGTAGTCTTTCAAAGTCCTAATAGGTTGATCCCCGTCCTAACTCAGGGTTTCAGAATTAAAGGATGAATTAGACTTGACTTCTTCTTTTTGAAAGGGTGGTGGATCTAATCTAATAAATCTCCCTTTTTCGTCCCTTGGTCTATTCATACACTCTAATCTCTTTTTTTTTTTTTTAATGAAGAAGATAAAATAAAAGCAAGAAAGTAAAATAAACTAAAAATGAAGCAAATAAAAGAAATAAAAGAAAAGTGAAGAATGTTCAAACTCTAATAGTCGATTTGGCTTCCTCGGCAATGGTGCCAAATTTTGATGTCTCGGCCCAAAATTAATCTTCCCCTAGTGGCGGTTAAGAAAGTGGCAATTTCAGAATTCAAAGATTCTGCAGGATCCTATGCCCTCACTCAGCATTCAAAAAGTTTAGCGCATAATTCAAGCTCAAAATTCCTATTTCTCACTTCTCATCTGAATTCATTCTGAACTCCTTTTTCACCTTTGCATTCAATCAATTCAAACTCGTCCATAATAAGCTCAAACACAAAGGCTTGAGCTTGCCACATGCAAAATTTTAGCTTAGCTGAGAGTCAATCCAGTATTTTCTCACCAGTTGAGAAGAGGTTCCAGGCGACTGTTCCAACCAAGTAGAGCCCAACTGAAACTTTGAAAACATCATCCCAAGAACCTGTGGTCAGGAAGAAAATGTCAAAGGAATCAGCTATATCAAGAGTTGCTACAAAAAGAAGCATGATGCAGCTCGGGGCAGCATACTCTTACCATCTTGTATGTGCCAAAAATCAGATTTTGTATTCTAATTAATTTCAGATAGTCTAACATGTATTTCTGGTTGAGTTTACTAGCAGCTCAATTCAAACATGAAAAGAAGGAGATCTAACCATGTTGTAAGATGTAACCAGTTGCTGCTGTTCCAAAGACCCCTGCCAA